CGCGCTCTACGCCGGCCACCGCGCGGACGACGAGGCCCACGCCTCCTAGCCCCTCACGGGCCCATGCATTTCCCCTGCTCAGCCCCTTCCTCGACCTCCCCATCCTCCCAGGGCGGCGGGACTGGAGGCGGGCTTGTTAGGGGCAGACTCCACGGCGCCCCTCCAGGGTGCAGCCTTGGGGCCCAGAGGTGCAGAATTATGACCATGGCATTTAAAGTGAGGTGAGACGGGTGCTGCGGATACAAAGAAAGGACGCCTCTCAGGCCTGGCTTATAGGGCGGTGCTAGAGGGAGGATGCGCTGAGATGCCCCCACCCAGGCTTCCTGCATCAAAGTTAAGAGGAAAGGAGGGCTGACCATTTACTGAGCACCCACTGTGCGCTGGGACGCTGTCAGGAGACCATCTTAGTCGTCATAGAAACCATGAGGTGGGGTCCTGCAGGTACCAGATGGGGAAAACCCCCCAGAGAAGTGGTTCTGACCTGTCCCGGAACACATAGCCAGTGAATGCTGGGGCCTCTGGCACTAACCTGGCCTTGGACCAGTCAGTTCACTTCTCTGGGTCTCAGTTTCCTCATCTGTCAAATGAGGTTAATAACAGAACCTACCTCGAAGAATTGTGAGGATAAGAAGGGTTCGTGTGTGTTGAGTGGTTAGGGCAGTGCCTGGCACATAGTAGGTGTCCAATAAATGTTCACCTTTGTTGCTATTGTCATCTCTGTCCTTATTAGAAGCCCAAGTGTCTGCCCCTTGGCCCGAGCTGCTTTCCTGGCCCCAGCTGCCCTCTCCTTTTCCCAACATCTCATGCGTGGGGGTGGCCCCAACTGTCAGCTCCTGATTCTGCCCCGACTGTGGGACAGGGACGCTCCAAGCGGCTCTGGAGTCTGAGGCCACACAAGAATAAGACAGCTGGCAGAGGTGTCACAAGAGGACAACCTGGGCAGCTCCAGACTTGGGGTGGGGGTTCGATGGACTGGCCAAAGACAGAGGGGTTAGGGCTGGGGATTTAGCTCAGTGGTACCGCTGCCTGCCTTGCAAGCGCAAGGTCCCAGATTTGACACCCAGTACCAAAACGCACACAGACACACACACACACACACACACACACACACAGACAGACACACACACAGAGAGGGAGAGGGGTTAGAAGACACTGAATATGGAGGGGTCCTTATTTGTCTTATTTGTCTCATGTGGGAATTTTAAGACTGTACAATCAACTGTTCCACCTGTGGTCGCCCTATCTTGATGACGAAACCCCAGCGACTGCTCTGAGGCTGGTCACTGACACCTCCACTGCAGAGGGGAAACAGGAGTAAAGTGACTGGCTCAAGGTCACCCAGCTTGTATGAGACCGAGCTGGGGCCACACAGGCCTCCTAACTCCAAGTCACTGCTCCTTCTACGTGCATTACTTTCCTTGGCAGACAGATTCCAACCCTGCCAAGGAGATTACAGGTAGTTAACATGTCCAGGGGACGTGGAGTCATGAGTCCCCTCAAAATCTGACCATACTCCACACGGGGAGTGACTTACCAAGGTTACACAAAGTTAAAGATCTTACTAGAAGAAAAGAAGTTTATTCTCCCAGATTCACCTTCTGAGCCCATGGCTCTACAGTGTGCCCACTGTGCGACTTTGGACAAGTTATTTACCTGCTCTGTACCTCCATTTCCTTACCTGTAAAGTGCACAGGCTGTCAACACCTGCTCCACCAGTTATAGTGATGTTAAAATGCAGTGACAGCAGCTGACACTGTACTTCCTGTGTGCTCTAAACCGTGCACATACATTAACTCACTTCCCAGCAACCCAAGGGGTAGGCCCCCACTTCTCAGCAGTACTGGGGATTGAACCCAGGGCCTTTGCATTGAGCTGCAGCCCCAGTCTTTTAAAATTTTGAGACAGGGACTCATTAAGGGTCTCATTAATTGCCTTGGCCTCCCAGAATGTTGGGATTCTAGGTGCGAACCCCCACCCGCCAGCTGTGCAGCAACTAATAAGAGGAGATATGGAGATTTAAAGCTGGGCCCTCTGCCCCGCCACACAGACCCCTGTGCCAGCAGCAACACAGTGTCTGGCACCCAGTCAGCCCTGGAAGCTTCCTGGTGCATCTGAAGTCCGTGCTCAGGGGGAGCTGGTTGCCCTGCTTGCCACTGCCCCCCCACAGCCCATGTGACTCCTCCAGCCTCCTGGGGCTTCTGCTAGTTCAGGGTGGAGCGTGGAGGGAGCAATCCCCCAATTCTGTTTGCTCGCTGTCTCTCTCCTCAGGCACTGCACCAGCCTGGTGTGAGGTCCAGTTCCCACGAGGTGTCCTCTCACACCAAGCCCTCCACGCGCTTTCCCATGATTTGGGGACACAGAGAAGGGTCTTGCTATGAGGCACACAGCTTCGGCCATCTGTCTCATTGATCCCCACCGGGTTCCCCAAGAGTGCCAAGGCCTCCCCTGTGGTAGGCAGAGAACACAGCCCCCCACCAGCTCCAGGCTCCACATAAGCACAGCGGCTCCCCAGGAAGCTCAGGGAACAATGGCCTTCTGCTCACCATGTCTGCCCTCCTTGTAAGGCATCTAGAAAATGAACAGAAAAACAAAATCCCTTTTCATTGTCATCATCGCCATCACCGTCATTATCACGGAATAAAAGACTATTCAGGGTCTTGAGCGAGAACTGATACATAATTGGCCAAGAATTTTGAAACCCAGGGATATGAATGACAATGACGTTAATGGTAATGATGATGGTGACGGCACACTTATGTGGCACTAGCTGCATGCCAGGCGCTGTACTAAGCCCTGTAGGTAATTAATATTAATAGAGATAAAACTCATGGAGAACGGACTCTGTGTTCGGTGTTGAGCACTTTACATAATGTGCCTTGTTTAATTTTAAGTAGATGCTTTTATTAGCCCTGTTGTAGGAGGCTGAGACAAGGGGCTGAGGGCTCATGGGTGAGGAGGGTCTCGCTCAAGGGCACAAAGCCCGTGGCCTGCCAGCCACCACCCCTTGGCTCTGCAGGGAACCCAGATCACTCAGATTCTCGGGGGAGCTTGAGGGGCGGGTGAGAGAGAAGCAGCTGGGGAAGAAGGGGAGACATTCCAGACGGATGGCAGAGCCGGGGCGCGCGCCAGAGCGGGGTCAGAGATGGCTGGCCGCGGTCCAAGCCTGCGCTGCATCTCTGGCGTGTACCAGTGTTCGTGTGTCCGCACACAGCTGCCGATGCGCTCCAGGAGGCAGGAGGCCAGTGGTGAGCACCACAGGCCAAGAACCAGCCTCCCACCTCCTGAATCGGAGAGCCTGCTGCTGTCATAGGGGCGGCTAAGCGCCTGCATCCGTCAGCCAGCCGTCAGCACTGCCCACCCCAGGTCACGAAATCAGCAGCTCCACTTACCTCCTGCCAGCAAGTGCGCTCAGGCCAGCTCTGTCACTGGCCACTGAGCCTTTAGAAAATGTAACCCTGTCAGCCCTCACTTTGAAGTGAGAGGCCTCATGCTTCAGTGCATGCATGGGTGCGGGAGCGTGGAGCACACGGTCCACGTGCACACTGTGCCAGAGCACAGGTAACACCTGTGTGCACGACACAGACACATGCGTGTGCACAGCCATGCACACGGGGTATCCCTGCAGTCTGCAAATGCGGTCCTGTACAGCACAGAGACCAGGTCTCATGTGTGCATTCATGTTTGTAAACAGAGCATATATGTGCCTCCCATAAGTATGGTCTCTGCATGCATGTACATGTATGTGTACATATGTGTCCACTGGTACTCTTCGGTGAACGTATTTTCCTATTCAAACACACACTCGTGTACATATGTGCATTCCCCAGGAGCTCCCATTCAAGTGCACGGTACATGTGTGCGGTGTGTAGCCCCTGATACACTGGAGCACAGAACTCCATGCACTCACTCTTAGTGCATGTGCACGTTTGCATGCATGCTCCTGAAATCATGCATAGCCTCAGGAAGTCAGTTACAAACTCCAAATTCAATGCCCAGAGCTGCATTTGCACTGGTGAGCCCATATGAGCATAATATACAGAATCACCCTTCAGCACCTAAACAGACAGGCTGCCTCCAGCAAGTGCACAGATATACACCCTCACGCACACGCATGCAAGAATATAGACTCCTGTGCCTCTGTATCCTACGTGTGGGCACCTCCACTCTCAACCCTTAACCCGCCCTGTGCATGTGCTCCTTTCGGGCAGGCCCACCAAGCTTCCTTCCCCCACAGCCATGCCACACGTGCCTGGCCCCACAGACAAGCACACAACACACACAGACACGCGCCTCCGGAGCCCCTCTCCCGCACCCAGATGCAGTCAGCCCTCCGGCACGTGGAGACACACGCGCCCCCTCCAGGGTGCAGCCCGCCGCAGCCCCAGATCGTCAGGTGTGCTGGGGACAGCAGGAATGGTGCCACAAACAGAAATCACCACTCACGTAGAACTGCATCTGCTGCAAACTTCTCATCTGCTGTGCAAATGATGATTAAATGTTATTGTGCAAGAGAAAATGGCAAGGAGGGATTCATTAGCTTTATTGTCAGGAAGGACTCCATGGACTCCAGCTCCCAACTCCAAGGCTGGCTTAACCCCCTGTGTGCTGGGGACGCCATACTCTCATGTCAGGTTGCAAAGAACGAAGGCCCCAGACACAGAGAGCCCAGCTCTGGGCCTGCATGAGCCCCCGGGGTGCAGAGAGCACTGTGGAACGAGTCACGATGCCCCAGAATCTG